ACATCAAACCCTGATCCGATCGGAAACATGCAGACTTAACTGTACACAAACACCCGATACTAAAGCCAAGTTCTAAAAGACCTTTCTTGCAAATATCATTATAAAAGTGGTGTTCTCGGTCTCAATGTATTAACAATCTATGCTTTTAGTTAATGAACTTGTTGGAAAATGTCATGATGATAGATCGATGTAAAGTAGCAAGATATTTGTAAAATACTCACACGATAGATAACATAGGAGAACAAAAATGAATACAATCACGCAACGTTTGACAAATCTTTGACTCCCTCTAGCATCATGGCATTATTGAATTATTTTTATAAATGAATAAACACCGAAAGATATGAGTTGATGTACTTTTATTGATATAATGTGATGTGTTCTAACGCTGATGGACATCTGTAATTGACAATTCTTGATTTGAATTCGAAACCGTCAGTTTTAAGGGGGTCAATATCTAAATGTTTTTAAAACGTTGCTTGGACAGGGGAACTGATCTAATATTTTAATATTAAACAGACTGAAGAAAAACCCTTCTTAAAGTCTCCGCGTATAATGGAGTCATTGCAATATATTTTTATTGGCGCTTTCCTTTTTGCTTTTGTTTTATTTACACATTTTTTATACAAGCTAATGTCGATTAAATTGTATATAGAATTTTAAAACTTATAATAAAACATGCCAGCGTTAGTTGTTTAGTTTCAATATGTAAAGTATCCGGAAACGAATAAAAAAACAAGCAGGAAAATCTTGATCTATCATCATAACAATATTACTGTAATGGAGCAGTCAAGACAAATTTCCTCAAGTGGAACAATTGAACAAGCGTTGTTGTCTTGCAATGCGTATTGGTAGTATGCTCTTACTTCATACTCACTTTTCTGGAATGGGTGTGATTTATAAAAGCATAGAGGGGCACGGTACCGATTTTTGATAAATAAAGTTATCAAAAAAAGTTTGTTGAAAGTAAAAATCAAATAAATTGAAATTTCATTTACTTCGGAAATTGATCGATTTCATTCTGCTTGGTACAGATGCTATATTCTTATCAAATCACGTGACAGAAACATGGCAAACTCCGGTTACGTCACGCTTTGATCAGTGGAACTAACAGCTGTAGGAAGTTTGCATAATAAGACTTGAGTATCGAGAAGTTAGCACTGACATCGAAGATCGAAGATCTTAGACTTGCATAATTTGGTGTTTGCAACTTCACTGTCATTCGCGCCAAACTTCAGTAACCGACAGGGTGTTCCAAATCCCGGAATGTATGGAAGTCGGAGTGGCAATTGAAATTGTCTGTTATGAATTCGTATCTTTAGTTATATTTATTAAAAATGGCTGAGACCCTCGAATCATTTGAACATTTTGTACATAAAGTATCGCAAATGAGGCTTCGAATCGGGTAACTTGCGATCATATTGGTTCTGTATTACTTTATTAGTAGCAAATGTTACGTATCCTTGGTACGTATGTATCAGGACAAAAACAATGAGGGATAGAACACTGAGACAAAATAAAAACCGGTTAGGAAAAGTGAAAAGTGCAATGTATCATAAGATAACTATCAAACCCAATGAGACAATTAATATTAAGGGATACATTAACAACAAAATTGATTATAAACCAACTGTAGCTATAATGCAAGAAGCAAGTAGTACAGCTTTACCAGACTTCATTGATGTAGAACCAAGTATCATCAACTACAATTATTCAAACTCTAGAGAAGTCACAATAAGTCTGTCTAGTTTAACAACAAATACAGTAACCATTCCACCAAAATCAACACTTTGTGAGTTACAGCCCCTTACAATTGCGGATGAAGTTATTGAGAGAGCTGAAGAAGAGGAATTAAAAAAGAATAGAAGGAAGCTAAGAAAATCACAGAATTGCAAGTATTACTTTAACGTATATATAACAATACAAACATAAATGATATTTAAGTCTGCAGTTGAAAAGATCTCCCAGCATGGGAACCATTTTAATTTATTCCGTAATTGAAAGGCCATGATTTGCAAAACCAAATTCAAGAGATAATCCTACTGTGAAAATACTTCTGTGATTACAGCAAATTTCGTACATAATTTTAATGATATATTAAGCATTTCTTTATTTCCTGCATAACAGATAGTGAATGATGACCATTGAGAAGCCAGTCAGGTTTTATAAACAAAGAATTTATACTGGAAATATGCGGAATGTTACAAGAAGCCTTTTCAATTAACGTTTTATGACAAGGAGAAAAAATGAAAACACAAGCGTACGGACACAACGCCATTAAACAACAAATAAAATACATTAAAATAGTAACATTATAACTAAAACTGAAAAAACATATTAAACTACAGCACCGGTTCTAGAGAATTTTTAGCACGCGACAGAGCCTTAAACAGTTACCCTCAAGCCAAACATTTCGACCAGCGTGTGACTCCCGCCAAAAATGATAAATATAAACGTTGCCCATAGAGTCACTAAACATCTCTGAAAATTTCACAGAAACCATAGTGCATACCGACAAAACCTTCATTTCATTTTTTTCCAGTAAATATTCTTACAGATTCGGTATCTGTACATTTATCTTTCTACGACGGAGACTGGTATACTTCAATTTTCTCTCAAAATAAGCATTTTTGTAATTATGACGCACAGTCTATATATTCCTATTTTCAATATGAATGGCTGTCTGAACAATTTTTGCTTACAAAGTAGTTCTCATTGATCTGTTTGTACAAGGAACGCCGTAAAAACCGTTTGATGCGATAATCTAAAATGACCGAATGTGTCAAAACGCCAGAACTTATTCCCTGAGCAAAACTGCAGTTGTTTCATCTGGCATTGGCGAGAAAGCAATAAACAGTATTAATGATAGTAAACAGACTTACTTTAACAAACAGATACAAAAGGTTGATTTGTAATTATATACATGCATACAATTGAATTCGTTTCAGCGACAATTTTGTACATATTTCTCACTTTTGGGAAGTGTTTTTAATTGTTGTTTTTGTTGTTGTTGCTCTGCATTGTGTCAGGCTTGAGCAGGCTTACAAATAGACTATCGATTTTCTGTTAAAATGCCGAATAACATTTTTTTCAGATGATGGGATTCCAACCAAAGGCGGTGAGGGGGGGGGGTAGTAACATTTCGACCACGGAGGCCCCGTTTTTAATAAACAGACATACTCATACACAAACATTGTCTTTAGAAAAATAAAGTATAATCGTGAACCTTAAAGAGTGTGTCGTTACACATTAAGAATAAAAGTGTGGACATTTAAGAATTTGACCTCATAGTAAAGAATGGAAGTATGGACCTTAAAGGATGTGACGTCAAGAACTGACTTGTCCACCAACAACCAACTATAGAGACATTAAGATGAAAAATTATAGTAAAGAACCAAATTTCACTGATGTGCACAAGGGCCTGCTTTTATACCGGTGGCAAATGTTACTCACTTTCAATGCAGAAGGACAAGGTTAAATAACAGTTCATTTCAAGTACATCAAAATTGTATTAAAACTTTAAAAGCGCCTACGTTGACAAACATTACCTAATCCTGGTCACATAGACGCTCTTTTAGTTTAAACATATTAATTCGATGCACATGAACAATATTTACAGATTAGGAGCTTATAAGTGTCCTATTCTAGTTATAACATTTTACATATACATGTACCCTATATAGCCCCATTTTGTTTATTAATTAGGAACTCAAATTGACACCTAACTTTTTAGCGTTTTCAAATATTTTGATATTTTTTTTTTAATTTTTATTTGCAAGCCTATTGCTAATCTATAGGAATAAAACAGTACATAAATTATTTATTTATAACTACAAAATGACTTGAAAATCCCTACTGATGATCAAATCTGAGCTAATTTTATTTTAATCAATTAGATACTGAGCGTGATTAAAGTTTGAACATTCTTCATGCGTTCTTTAAAGGCACATTATGCCTCGGAAATCCATATTTCTTAATTCTTTAGAAAAGTCAAATATGTGTTTAATGGTATTTTAAATATCAAACAACTAAAGAAAGTAGCGCAGAATGTGCGGTCGAAAGTTATCAAAATGTAAACAAAGTGGTATTTTTACTTCCATACAAAATACTTAATCGCTATATAATCATGATACAGAGCTAATGAAACAAAAGACAGTTCATGTATATGGCAAATGAGAATGTTTTATGCAAACTGTAAATAAAAATGATATAAGCATTTTTGAGGCACAATGGGCCTTTAATGAATATAAACAAGTTATTGAATATAAGTTTTTCAACATCATTAAATTCAAGTAGGTAATTCGTTATTGTAGTCTATTTTACTAAATACGTGAAGATGATAGTATCATCAAAGATCACATCACGTTTTAACCACAAAACATGACGGTTTTCTTTTGATAAAACATTTTTTATACATATACAATAGATTAAAGAATTTAAACAAAATACTGTAAAGGTTTTAAAAGCATCTTTTTAAATGTTAACAAAAGATTTTTTTTGTGACAAAGCGTTGACATCCTTTTTAACTTTATGTTTTTTATTTACTAACTTCTTAAACTGTAAGTAGAAGTGTTTAATGCCGGGTGTTTTGTTAATTTTTGTTCAAATGAACAGGAAGTTGTAAATAGTTATAAAGAAACACGAAATAAAGATATATATTCACGCATGTTGCCTTATTCAGTTTGACTAAAAAAACAAACATGTATTTCTGTTAAAACCACGCGTTTGACCCAAAGATTAACAAACGTGTGGTTCATTCATTTTGTAATTAAGTATAATCAAAGCATATTTCGAATACTGTAGAGATCTAGAAGTAATAATATACTCGAATAATTTACAGGTATAAATTAAATACATAATTCCTCAGCGTTCCCGTAAACACATATAAAATTAATGTTTATAATCATTTTAAGATGTAAAACATGCAAACACAAGTGTCATAAATGTGTACAATATGTAAACTATAAGAAACGCGTGGTAATATGAAAATGTTCGCCTACCTTCATGTTTTAAATTCCTTAGACGTTTCCTACTGTGTTATCAGAGGAAGTTTCCCAATATTTATCTGAGAGTCATAGCGTTGATAGCAGACGACACTAGAACCGAGTTGCAGACGACACCGTTTATACACGATATTGACAATTATGTGATCACACAAAATTCGATACACACAGAGCCAACATAACAACTGCTCAAACATGCGTGTAAAATGAGTCAACTAAATCCTTGAAAACAACATTTTAGCGTGTCTTGTGTATTTATAGATCTACTTGCTTATTAACTAACATAAAACACTCTTACATGTACATGTACATACTCGTCGATTATTAAACGTCCGCGTTTTTAACCCCGGTTAATTTCAAAAATCGGACCATATCGATTATTGCGTTACTATTTTAAATTTGCTATTAATGACGCGCGTTATTTAGATATCATAACAGAAAGAATTATTAAACTACGAAAAATATTAAATATACCAGTATATTATGTACTTAAAATTCTTTAGAGAATTAACGTCATTTATTGTTTTATGCTGCTGCTGCTGCTGCTGCTGTTTGTTGTTGTTTTTGTTTCTTCTGCTTTTTGTTTGTTTGTTTTTTTTTTCGTGGGGGAGGGGTTGGTGTTTTTTTTTCTCTTCGAATGCGATAAATCGTCTTCTCATCTCGTTGTGTCCTCCTATATATGCACAACAACGACAACAATATCTTTACGCGTAAGAAAATAGTTCTACGGCGTTTCCTTACAACTTCCGAAAAAACAACAGCAGTTCTTAACCATCATTTTGTGTGCGTTGCGTTGGGTTTCACACGAACACTAATCCTTTGTCAAACCAGAACATAAAATATTCAGCATCTATACTTCAACAGACCAACTGAACTTTACTTTAACTTAGAATAAAAGGTGCACCGGAGACTCTGGAAATGGAACTTGATTTTCTTTTTTCACATTAAGGAGCTGTACAGCAGTTTTTTCACATTAAGTAGCAGTGAAGCAGCTTACCTATGGAAGGTATACGGTGCCACTATCAAAGTGCCTGCTCGTGCCTCAAAGCCCTGAAATAACATATACCTATATGGAGTGGTCCTCAATCAGAATGTCGCAATGTGACATTGGCAGTGTCGGTGTGACGTTTTCAAGGAAATATTTACCTTCTTTTAAACGGTTTAACGAAAAGATTAATCATCATAATTTCCCTTATACTTGAAATAGTTTGAAAAATATAAATTATACTAACTTAAGTTTTCCTTATTGTGCCAAGTAGAAACCGTGTACATATTTGAAAGTTTCTTAATCACGTTGCAACCCCGTTTACTTTTAGGAACTATTTCAGACGACAAAGAAAAGTGGTTGAAATTTCAAACCGTTTCTATCAAAGACTGTCGTCTGCTTGAAATTTCAAACCATTTCTATTAAAGCAGTTTCGTCTGGCAGGGAGAAACGATGCTCAGTAGGGACCATCCATCATTGTTTCGCAATTTTAACATTTTCAACGTGTAAGCAGACGATACGAAAGTTCAATAATTTCATACTTATAGTTACTAAAATATAAAACGGTACAAAATACAATACAACGATACGAAAGTACATTAAAACGATATGAAGTACTGTAAGACAAATGAAAGTGCATTGAAACGACATGAAAGTAAAGAATGACTACATGACACGGTACGAAGGTACTATAAAGCGATACAAATGACCAACAGATCGAAACAAAAGTTAAATTAGTCGATGTGATATTATAAGAAGACCACACAAAGTAAAATTTGACGCGAATGGAAAGTGGGGAAACGGAAAAGAAAATCCACTTAAGATTAATATTGAAATTGCTGTTCCTTTTAAAACCATTGCTGTCTCGCAATCTTGCATGTTCTTTCCAAATCAGTGCACGATAAGGTAAGTCAAACGTGTTTTGCGACATTACATCAATTCTCGCGCTTTCTCGATGTATTTTCAATCTTTTTGAGACAGCAAGACAATGTTATCTCTACCGGAAGTGGGAACATAGAAAAATGGCTGCATGAAATCACAGTTTTGACTTTAGGCTGTACATTTGAAGTTTTCTTTCTTGTTTATTTGCATACAATATCATTGTTCTGCACTATTTTCGTTCGTCTCGACCTAAGCGGGATTTTTTGATGTGTAACGTTGATGTTAAACATGTATATATACATGCATGTCAATATGTCAATATCGAGGACAGTCTATTTTAAAAACGATGGCTGTGTTAATTAACCGGTAAATTGCTGATAGATAATCAAATCAATCGCATGTAATTTATGCAAAACAAAATCTCTTATCTAAATTCAAGCTATTTTATTCAGTTACATCGTCGTATCACCATTTAAATATGCATTATCTTTATACCCAAAGGAAAATACGAAAATTAATGTAAAGTTCTTTAACTTTGAAAACAACAAGTGAAATAGGGATTTATCCCCTTAAAAATGGATATAACGCTAATAAATTGAATCGTTAAATGTCGATCATTTTCGGATTATATCGTAAATTTAAACACTTTCAATCTCTTTAGTATACTTTTGTCACGTGACAGGGTGTTTTTCCAACGTGACGTCATTTTTTAAGAAATACCAATATGGCGACTTGCATACATGCTCGTGAGAGTCTGTTAGTCTTCAATTTCTCAATTGGGAACTGTAGAATAATGGAATGTTCTTATGTACAAATGCAAAGCACTTGTTTGCAAAAAAAAATGACTGAACAGAAACATTCAAGATTCTCCTAAGTGTATCGTGTTTCTTAAAAAAACAGCAACAACAACAACAAAACGAAACGATTCGGATACTTTACTTTACAATTTCCAGAGCATTAATTCTTAACCATTGGTAATTCCTCCTTTCCGAACGGATTCAGGTTATCTTGACAACTGAGAAAAATATTTGATTTTTTTTCTTTGGAATGCCGTTGTTACTTTGTAAAGGGGATAGTCATATAATAAGGAATTACATATGATTTTGTTTTGTCTCGCGTCTTATTTCAATTCTAAAAGATTCGGAAAAGATAGATTGTACGCATTTTCTCAAAGACAATTTTAGTTAAGTTTGTGCCTTTTAGAGAGTACTGAGAGTACAAAACCTACGAGCGCTATCTAAGTAATGAAATTAACGTACCTACTTTTTTAACAACGTCTTCTTAAAGTGTCCTATGCGTTATGACAATTCTATATACAATCCACAGTGAAATGTCTTTTCGACGAATTATAAAAATCTGATGTGGTTTTCGAAACTTTCAAACTGTATTTCTTTATTTTGATTTATTGCTTTAAAAAGTACACACATGTTCTTGCTCACTAATTGAACTGCATTATGATGTTAGTAATATCCAATTAGTTTTAACAACAATTCACATTTGTACTAATAATAACCATCTACTACCAAGTAATCAAACTGATCCACTCGTTATTAAGTGGTTAGGGTTGTACGTCAAAAAATAGTCACACGATCACATTGTTTAATTGGCAGGAAGAAGTAAAAAAATCCTTAATAAGTTTTTGACAGCATATGAACTTGTATGTCACGCGAACTTACATTTTGAGTTGATATTACTGGCCTTTTTCGGTTCGACCAGTTTACTCGTGTTGTCTAAATGTGTAAGATTTCTACGTTTATCCCCGTTTTGCGTCCCAATCGCGAGACGTACCATATTGTAGTTGCGTTCGTAAGAAAAAAGTAATCATAATTCTTAAAGAAAAAAAAACCAACAAAACACTAAACTAAACGTAAATTGAGCTGAATAAGGTATATATATATATATATATCGAACGAGTGAATATTAAAATGATAATTGACAAGTAAATGATAATGAAAAATATTAAGACAAAATATAAAAACTGTCTAAAATATAAAAGGACTGCCCCACTCTTTCTATCACTCCAACATAGCATAATTTCACGTTTCTACCGATTCAACGTTACGTAATTTCATGTTTCTACCACTTCAACGTAACATAATTTCATGTTTCTACAACTTCAACGTTACATAATTTCATGTTTCTACCACTTCGACGTTACAAAATTTCACGTTTCTACCACTTCAACGTGACATAATTTCATGTTTCTACCACTTCAACGTTACATAATTTCACGTTTCTACCACTTCAACGTTACATAATTTCATGTTTCTACCACTTCAACGTTACATAATTTCACGTTGCTACCACTTCGACGTTACAAAATTTCATGTCTCTACCACTTCAACGTTACAAAATTTCACGTTTCTACCAATTCAACCTTAACATAATTTCATCATGTTTCTACCACTTCAACGTGACATAATTTCATGTTTCTACCACTTCAACGTTACATAGTTTCACGTTGCTACCACTTCGACGTTACAAAATTTCATGTCTCTACCACTTCAACGTTACAAAATTTCACGTTTCTACCAATTCAACCTTAACATAATTTCATCATGTTTCTACCACTTCAACGTTACATAATTTCACGTTTCTACCACTTCAACGTTACATAGTTTCACGTTGCTACCACTTCGACGTTACAAAATTTCATGTCTACCACTTCGACGTTACAAAATTTCACGTTTCTACCACTTCAACGTGACATAATTTCATGTTTCTACCACTTCAACGTTACATAATTTCACGTTTCTACCACTTCAACGTTACAGAATTTCATGTTTCTACCACTTCAACGTTCCATAATTTCACGTTGCTACCACTTCGACGTTACATAATTTCATGTCTCTACCACTTCAACGTTACAAAATTTCACGTTGCTACCACTTCAACGTGACATAATTTCACGTTGCTACCACTTCAACGTTACAAAATTTCATGTTCCTACCACTTTAATGTTACACAATTTCATGTTTCTACCACTTCAATGTTACATTATCGGCATCATGTCACATTAACTATGGTTGAGAGATAAGCACACCTAAACGAACTCGGCTTCTGTTTTATTGCATGTGCGTGCAATACATGCCCTGAAGGAAACGTTTTGAGGTTAGTTTTGTATTAAATGACAAGCCACATATCAATATCGAATGTCAACCTACATATAGCATTTCATAAAAACACGATTTGTATTTGTTTCATAATTATAAGAACGAATAACGAGAAAATCGCCCGCCTTATTTTAAATGTGTATTACTTTAAATTATATAAATGATTTTCTTATAATTTATCATGCTTATTTACTCGCCTAGTATACCTGTTTCACACAAACCGTTGTGTTCGCTTAAAGGCCCATTATACCTCAGAAGTGCTTTTATTTGTATTTCACAAAAGCTTTTCAATTTTGGTGTACTTTGATCTTTGATAGTTTCCAAAAAGTAACTCATTGGCCATTTCCCGAACCATCTTTTTCCATCTGTTGCTTTTTGACAATAAGTACAGTAATAGTAGATATGGAAGCCAAAATACTACTTTGTTTTACATTTTCTACTTTTATTACAAATAATTTCATATTTATCGCTACTTTCTTCAGGTAACAAGCATCTAACATACTCTACATCATTATTTACTGTAAACATTAAAGACTTTATGCTTGCTCTTTCTAAATAAGTAAAATTGTATTTGTTTGAGATGAATAATGCGCCTTTAACGAGAAAAGTTCTAAAAGACGCATTTTTCGTTCTTTGTTCTTTGAATGTTTGTTCATTGAATGCTTGAAATATATTATGTAAACATGTACTATTATGTAATAAATGGGTCGTCAGACCAAACAAATAATGTCAGCGAAATTTTAGACTCTGATGCTGTTAATTGCAAATGCCGAAAGTAGTCCGCTTTTTTGAACGGTTACTTCCCTTTTATGTGTACACTAACGACAGGAGATTACTGCGTAAAGATGGTCAAATGACAGGCGCATTAATTTTCAAGCATATAGTTCCCGAATTGTCGAAGATTTCTAATATTGTTTTATTCTTTATAGATATACATGCTTATAGTAATCTCCATGATTATTTACATCTGTGTTAAACAACAGTTAGCGTTGTTACAAAAGCTAATTTAGAATAAAATGGTTTTCTTCAGGCCCTTTATATAAAACTTCACCGTGGCAGAGGGGTTTGCGCGCTCGCTTAGGAAGCGAGAGGTCTGGAGTTTAAATCCGAGTTAAGGCAACTTTTTTTTCAAATTGTTTAAGTCAAATAAACATTGAATTGAAAATCAGTGTTGCAATTATTCTTATAGCTAATTTACTACAATTAAAACACTGGAAAGTATTGGTGGCACTATACAAAAACAAATTGGTTTATAATTTCACAAACTTCGCCTTTTTGACATTCTGAGACCCAAACAAATTCAGCGCCTTCTGTGCTTTGATTACATATGTTGACCCTTGTTGGGTAATTAATGGATAAGAAGTTATTGTTTTTGTTCAATTTAAAATAGTTTACTTTTTAATACATTTTAAAAATTTCTATGAAAATTAGCATAAATCTAGAGGTATGCTGTTTAAATAACAATTCGAAAATTTATACGAATATTGTCGAAAACAGACGATCGAAACGTAAGCAGTTTTCGATCATCTCCACATTTTCCTCGTGGATTTAGATATTACTCGACGAATGGATATTTCTGCGGCAACAATTATGACGCGATTTCGTCTTACTTCTCGCAGACGACAATATGAAGCTATGTGATTAGAATCGATGTTTTGACTCGAGTGAAAATGTCCACATCTCCTGAAATACAACTTAGTTTGATCAGTAATTATTGCTGATAAATTTATATGACAATTGCAATATGAACAGTGCGAGATCTGTCTCAATCACCGTCTTTATCCCGCCAGACTCATTGGTAATCGGCGAAGTCATTCAAGTTTCGGAAACTTGTAGTGTTCAGCCCCTTGGTTAAATGATACTAATTGAGGTGATAACAATTTTTTTCTAATGATTGATTATTTCTGTTGGTTACCGTTAACTTTTATTGAAATGATTGAAGAGACATAATTATATTAACGTGTTTGGTGTGTAAATAGAGAACTACCAAAGTACCTTTCGTATTTCAAATGACACTTCAGATTTAGAAGGAGGGGAAAATCTTTTAGAAGATATACGTATGTCTTTGTTTTCTGTGCACGTGTCTTTACGTTAGTTTAAACGTCGACAAGTAACTCTTATCCAGAAATAGAAAAAAAAATCGCACATTGTTCTGAACGGTCATATATTTATTAAGTGGCAATTAAGTTAACTATTGTCTAGATACGTTAACCACATTAGTCACTGCATTCCAGCAGTGCAATGATACACTTTATTTTGTAATGCCCCCTTAGATTGATATGCTAGCTCGGCATTACGGACAGCAATTGTATAGTTTTTACACTATATATATATGAATGCCCCGCTACATTGCTTAGCCAACTGAGCATACCAGCAGAGCATTTTAACACTTAATTTTGGAATGCACCGCTCGATTGCTCTGCCAGGTCGACATTACAGTAGAGCAATTTTATAGTTTTTACACTAAATATAAGAATGCCCCACTAGATTGCTTAGCCAGCTGAGCATTCCAGCAGTGCAATGATACAATTTATTTTGCAATGCCCAGTTAGATTGCTCTGCGAGCTCGGCATTACGGAGAGCATTTTTTTAATTTTTACACTATATATAAGAATGACCCGCTAGACTGCTTAGCCAGCTGAGCATACCAGCAGAGCATTTTTCGCACTATATTTTGGAATGCCCCGCTAGATTGCTTACCCAGCTGAGCATACAAGCAAAGCATTTTTCACACTACATTTTGGAATGACCTGCTAGATTGCTTACCCAGCTGAGCATACCAGCAGAGCATTTTTCGCACTATATTTTGGAATGCCCCGCTAGATTGCTTACCCAGCTGAGCATACCAGCAGAGCATTTTTCGCACTATATTTTGGAATGCCCCGCTAGATTGTTTACCCAGCTGAGCATACCAGCAGAGCATTTTTCGCACTATATTTTGGAATGCCCCGCTAGATTGCTTACCCAGCTGAGCATACCAGCAGAGCATTTTTCGCACTATATTTTGAAATGCCCCGCTAGATTGCTTAGCCAGCTTAACATTCCAGCAGAGTACTGATACACTTTATTTTGTAATACCTCCTTAGACTGCTTTGCCAGCTCGGCATTACAGGAGAGCAATTTTATAGTTTTTACACTTGATATAAGGATGCCCCGCTAGATTGCTTAACCAGCTGAGCATTCCAGCAAAGCACTGATACACTTTATTTTGTAACGCCCTGTTAGATTTCCCTGCCAGCTCGGCATTACAGAAGAGCAATTTTATATTTTTACACTTTATATGAGAATGCCCCGCTAGATTGCTTAGCCAGCTTAGCATTCCAGCAGTGCAATGATACACTTTATTTTGTAATGCCCCCTTAGATTGATCTGCTAGCTCGGCATTAAGGAGAGAAATTTTATAGTTTTTACACTATATGTTAGAAAGCCCCGCTAGATTGCTAAGCCAGCTGAGCATTCCAGCAGAGCATTGATACACTTTATTTTGTAATGACCCGTTAAATAGCACTGCCATCTCGGCATTACGGAGAGCAATTTTATAGTTTTTACACTATATGTTAGAATGCCCCGCTAGATTGCTAAGCCAGCTTAGCATTCCAGCAGAGCATTGATACACTTTATTTTGTAATGGCCCGTAAGATTGCTCTGCCAGCTCGGCATTACGGAGGGCAATTTTTTTAGCTTTTACACTATAAATAAGAATGCCCCGCTAGATTGTTTACCCAGCTAAGCATTCCAGCAGTGCAATGATACACTTTATTTTGTAACGCC